CTCCCCTGAACGCCTCGAAATGAAAAATATATATAGGTATGTGCATTCTTGGGTGTACTTATATCTGCTGCCAGCACTCTGGTCTAATTGTTAAGACCCATAGATCAAACCCCATAAAACCCGCGTGAAGCACGTAAACCCTAAACCCTAAACCCTAAACCCTAAACCTGAACCCTAAACTAAAAACCTTAAGGTATGTTCAAGTGGCAAGGCCCTTAAGCTCTGGGCCCGAAACCCTAAACCGTAACCCTGAGCTTTGCATTCCTAAGCCCTAAACCCTAAACCCGAACGCCTAAGCCCTAAACCCTAAACCCGAACACCGAAGCCCTAAACCCTAAACCCCCACACCTAAGTTCTAAGCCCTAAACCCTAAACCCACCCTGAAGGATGCCGAAGCCCAGCAGAGCGCTGTGGAGCTGCTGGATGCGTTCCGCGTCTGCCAAAGCCTCCAAGACCCACGGTTTAGGGTCAAGGGTTTAGGGGTTTAGGGGTTTAGGGGTTTAGGGGTTTAGGGTTTAGGGTTTAGGGTTTAGGGTTTAGGGTTTAGGGTTTAGGGGTTTAGGCTTAAACTCCCTGAGGGTCCATGTGCCCAAACCCTAAACCCTAAACCCTGAGGGTCCATGTGCCCAAATAGCATATACTTTGCTACTTGGCCATGTGGACCCCCAGAGACCCTGAACGCTAAAAGCTTTAGAGCCCCATTGTAACCTTGTAAAGGCTAAGCCCTTTAGAGACCCCAAACCCTGCGCCACCAATGGTTGACACTTGTTGGATTCCCCTTGTTTTTGTATGAAAGTTAACATCATGTATCAGGTTTTCGTGGGAGCTCGCATGGTTCTAATCCTGCCCAACTGTGTTCAACCGTAGACCCCAGGAAACCTACGGGAAGTTTAGAAACGCCGCAAGATTTCAACCCCAAGCTTCCCCAGACCCCAAACCCCAAACTTCCCTATAAACCTCAAAATGCCCTAAACCCTAAACCCCAAACCCTAAACCCGAAACTTCCGTAAACTCTAAACCCTAAACCCCCACACCCTAAACCCCAAACCCCAAACTTCAAAGCACCCTCCCCTCTCCACCCGGCTCAAATCTAGAATTCTCGAATCCCTTCAGTTGGGGATTAGGAGTTGGGGGTTTAGGGGTTTAGGGTTTGGGGGTTTGGGGGTTTAGGGTTTGAGGCTTCGGGT